CTGGGAGGTTGGTGTGCTCACTGCTACTGGGGTATCATTCATTGCTCAGAGATCCTCTCAGCAGTAAGAGTTAGAAAATACAGGGGTGCCTGTGTGGCTCAGTGGGTTAGGCCTCTGCCTTCAGCTCAGGTCATGATTTCAGGGTCCTAGAATCGAGCCCCATATCAGGCTCTCTGCTCAGCAGGGAGCCTGCTTTCCTCCCTCTCTCTCTGCCTGCCTCTCTGCCTACTTGTGATCTCTGTCTGTCAAATAAGTAAATAAAAATCTTAAAAAAAAAAAAAGAGAAAATACAAATATATGGGCCACCTGGGTGGCTTAGTCGTTAAGCGTCTGCCCTCAACTCAGGTCATGATACCAGGGTCCTGGGATGGAGCCCCGCATTGGGCTCCCTGCTTGGCAGGAAGCCTGCTTCTCCCTCTCCCTCTCCCCCTGCTTGTGTTCCCTCTCTTGCTGTGTCTATGACAAATAAATAAATAAAATCTTAAAAAAAAAAAAAAAAAAGGACGCCTGGGTGGCTCGGTTGGGCGACTGCCTTCCGCTCAGGTCATGATCCGGGAGTCCCACATTGGGCTCCCTGCTCATTGGGGAGTCTCCTTCTCCCTCTGACCTTCTCCCTTCTCATGCTCTCTCTCTCTCTCTCTCTCTCTCTCTCTCAAATAAATTAAAATCTTAAAAAATAATTATAAGAAAAAAGAAAGAATTGTGGAGCTCTGTGAGTCAGGCAGCAGCCAGTGCTGAGAAAAGAGCCTGGGTGTGGGATGCTGGGAACCATGGCTTTTGTCTGCAGACTGCACCATAAGTGACCCATGCTGGAAAAACCAAGCTTTTCAATGGGTCCCTCAGGCTCTGTGGGAAGCCAGGAAACTTTCGTAAGGGTCCTGGAAGGGCTGGGGGGTACAGGTCAAGGCTAAAAGGGTCTTGGTTGGCCCCAAATGTTTGTGCAGAGTAGAGACAAGAAAATATTTTTCTCTTTTGTGTTCAAAGGAGAGGGTGAAAAGTGATGGGGACACTCAGACCAGTGATGGGAACATTGTTTGGGGGAGGCCTGAGTCTAGGGACTGGAAGCCGCTCTCTGCCCCTTTTTTAGTTTTATTTCCCACTTAGTGCTTATCACAGCTGCTATTAGATACTTACCTGAATCATTGTTTGTGCAATATCCCGCTCCCTAGGTGAAATAAAAGCTCAATAGGGGAAGAGACCTGACCTATATTGTTTTTCATCACTGTGACCTTGAACAAGGCACAGTGCCTTTGTGCCTCAGTTTCTCCATCTGTAAGATGAGGATAGTCTTTTTTTTTTTTTTTAAAGATTTTATTTATTTATTTGAGAGAGAGGCAGTGAGAGAGAGCATGAGCGAGGAGAAGGTCAGAGGGAGAAGCAGACTCCCCATGGAGCTGGGAGTCCGATGCGGGACTCGATCCCGGGACTCCGGGATCATGACCTGAGCCGAAGGCAGTCGTCCAACCAACTGAGCCACCCAGGCGTCCCAGATGAGGATAGTCTTAACAAAAAACATGCATCAAATCCCAAAAAAGGCAAGAAAAGAGAGAGAAAAGGAGCACAGAGCAGGTGAGTCAGAGAAAAAACACATAGGAAATCAAATAGGTCCATAATTATATTAAATGTAAATGGGCCAAATGCCCCAGTTAAAAAGACAAAAGATGGGCAGACTAAATAAAAAAGCAAAACCCAATTCTGTGCTATTTACAGGAGACACATACAACGTAAAGATACAGAAAGGTAGAAGGTAAAGGTTGCAAAAGGATGGTACATTTTAAAAATGAGGCTGGAGCACCTGGGTGGTTCAGTTAAGCATCTGCCTTCGGCTCAGGTCATGATCCTGGTGTCCTAGGATCAAGTTCTGCACTGGGCTCCCTGCTCAGCGGAAAGCCTGCTTCTCCCTCTCCCCCTGCTTGTGTTCCCTGTCTCTCTATATTTCTGTCAAATAAATAAAATCTTGGGGAAAAAAGAAAAATAAATAAATAAATAACAAGCCAAGGGTCACCTGGGTGGCTCAAGTCAGTTGGGCATCTACCTTCGGCTCCTGGGGGTTCCTGGGATTGAGTCCTACATTGGGCTCCTTGCTCAGCGGGGAACCTGCTTCTCTCTCTGCCTGCTGCTCCCCCTGCTTGTGTGCTCTCTCTCTGACAAATAAATAAATATAGTCTTTAAAAAAATGAGCCAAGAAAAAACAATGAGCCAAAAGAGAACTGTGTGTCATCTTAATGTGAGACAAACTCCACTCCAAGGCAAGAAACACTGAAATAAAGAAGAGCACATCATAACAATAAAAAGTCGAGTTCACCAGGAAAACTATGACAATTGCAATACCATGTAGTCAATGACATGATCTCCAGATAGCAAAGCATTTGTCTCCTAAGGCTCATACAACAACAATTAAATACATGTGAATGTGGGGTGCCTGAGTGGCTCAGTGGGATAAAGCCTCTGCCTTCGGCTCAGGTCATGATCTCAGGGTCCTGGGATTGAGCCCCGCATCGGGCTCTCTGCTCAATAGGGAACCTGCTTCTTCCTCTCTCTCTCTGCCTGCCTCTCTGCCTACTTGTGATCTCTGTCAAATGAATAAAATCTTTAAAAAAAAATACATGTGAATGTTTGCCTTCACCTGTGAAGTCTGAGTGTCAGCCATTACTGTTAGTGTTGCAATAGTTGCTGTTATTAGTTTATATTTAATTTGGTTGTTTACTTATTAGTATCAGTGTTTATTACAATTCTTCCAGCCCTTATAATAGAGATGGGGCTGGATGGGTAAGAGATTCCACTATGCAGATAAAAACACTGACTAGGTTGCCTGGGTGGCTCGGTGGGTTAAAGCCTCTGCCTTTGGCTTGGGTCATGATCCCAGGGTCCTGGGATGGAGCCCTGCGTCGGGCTCTCTGCTCCACAGGGAGCCTGCTTCCTACTCTCTCTCTGTCTGCCTCTCCGCTTGTGATCTCTGTCTGTCAAATAAATAAATAAATAATCTTTACAAACAAACAAAACCACTGAGGTTCAGAGATGGATAGGGAGTAGTCCAAGTCCCTCAGAACCAGCACTGGCCCAGGGTTTATTTGATGTTCTTTCCCAGGAAATTTCTCACATATCTTCACCACCCTAGCACCTCTTTCGCTGGTTAGCTTGCCTGCCTTCCAACCACAATGATTTCCCTGAATTCCCCCCACCTCCTCTCCTTTTGTGCCAGTCACTGTGTAGGCCCCAGTGCTAAAACAATGACAAACAGACCCTTCCTAGACTATGGGGGTTTTCCAACCTAGGGGGCAAGGCAGAGTTAAGTCAAATAATAATACAGACATAAAATCAGTTATGAAGTGAAGGTTCATCATGCTAAGAGGGCTGCCAATCAGGCTTTGCCTTGGGGAAGTCTGGGAGAGCTTCCTGTAGGAGGTGACCTTGGAAGGAGCACCAGTCTGACAAGTTAGTTACCTCCAAAGCCAGTTACCTCCTCTGGTGTTAGCTACCTCCAATAGCCAGTGACTCATTCATTCATTCATTCATTTATCCAACTACCATACCATAGGTGCTAGGCATCAGTCAAGGATGCAGTGGGGACAAAACAGGCATAATTCGTCCCAGGGTGGAGCAGAGTGGGATAAGAATGAAGGAGATCTGCAAATGGGTAACTCCTGGGAAGGAAACAAAATAGAACGAGGGAAGTGTAAGTGTCCCCCCTCCTTTTCAAAACAAGATCCTTAAAAACCCATCTAATCGAAGCTACCACCTTCTCCATGGGTATCTTATCACCCTCTGGCAGAGGGTGCAGGGAGAAGAAACTCCTTCCAGCAGCCTTGCTTGCTCACTCCCTCACCTAACCATTAATTGCGTTTCTTCTCTGTGCAAAAGAAAAGCTTTCTCGGAGATTAGACCACGCGAGGGTGGCGGAGGTTCTGCGTGCCCTTGGGTGATCGCTCCCCTGGAGACCTTGGGTCCACATCTGTAATTAGGGCTTAAGGGTGGGTCGTCCAGCTGTCCCAGAGCTGCACTGACAGTCACGTCTGAGCTCCTTAAGGCAACACCTTTTAGGGCTGTCCTCTCAACAGCCCCCACAAGGTGAGAGTGCGTGCATGGGAGTGTTTATCCCCATTTCGCAGATGAGCAAGATGAAGCTCAAACGCGAACGGTGAGTCCTGGTAGGCAGCGCGGCGCTAATTGGCGAAGAGACCCCGAGACCCCTTCTCCCGCCTCCGCCCCCGCCCCCGCTCCGGGTGGCGCGGCAGCCTCTGCCCCTTTAAGAATTCCCCGCGGAAACAAGCAGGAAGGGGGTGGCGCTTGCTTCCGAGACGGATGTGCGCACAGACCAATGGATGCTACAGTCGCCGCAGCGGCGGCCAATGGGCGCGGCGGGGGCGGGGCCGGGCGCCCGAGCCTGGTTCCCGAGGCGCGGCGGCCACGGCTGGGGGCGGGGAGGGGGGCGCAGGACCCCAGGCGGGGGTCCCGGAGCCGGAGGCACGTGTCCCGGGGCGCCGGCAGGGTTGCACCGGCTGGGGGCGCTGCCCAGGCCTGGGCTGGTCTGGGTGCCGGGGCGACGGGGGCTGGGGCCGATGGGCGGGGCTAAGGGCCGCTGGGGGAGGCGAGCCGGGGGGCGAGGAGGGTCGGAGTGCTAGAGGGGGCGCGGCAGAGCGCGGGCGGCTGGGGGTGGGAACCGAAGGGGACTGAGGGGAGTAGGTGGGGGCAGTGCTGGCAGAGAAGTGCAGGGCCGGGGGCCCTGAGGGGTGCGGGGGTCGGGGGCCCCAGACTGGTGGCGTCAAACAGGCATGAGGCGTTGGGGCCCTGGGTGGGAGGTTGACGGAGAGCCAGGCCCGGGTGGGGGGGTCGTCTGGAGGGTGTAGGGTATGATGCGATCCGTTGAGGGGCGTCTGGGGACATCAGGGTGTTTACGGGTCGACTGAGCGGCTGTGGGGAGAGCTGGCCCAGGCTGGGGGCGGTGGTTGGGGGAGGGGGGAGGGCGAGTTATACGGGCGCAGGGGATTGTGGGGGGGGGGGCTGGGAGGGTCTCAGAAAATGGGGCCGGAGCCCGGAAGGAGCAGGCAGGTGAGGGTTAGGGAGGAGATGCTGTGGGTTAGAATTAGAATGAAAGCTAGGCTTTACCACCTCTGAGCTTGGGGCCTGGGGAAGAGGGGCAGTTGTTCATAGCCAGAAGAGGAGGCTGTAGAATCCCTTGGGGGTCTTGACCACCCCTGTAAAGGAGGCTACTTTGAGAGAGTGGTCAGGAGGCTTGAGGAGAGGAGGAAGGGCTCCCAGGGAAGGGTATGGGCTAGAGTCCTTGGCATTGGGGGAGTGGTATTAGATTCAGGGTATGGAAAGAAAAGGCTTGGGATTTCTAGTGGCAACCCTTAGGAGAAGGGGCAGCTGGAGGTGGGATTCCTGGTAAAGATTCAATTCCCTTTGGGCTCTAAAAACAGACTTCCTGAGACTTCAGTCACCCTAAAAAAATCCTGGCAACCCCCTCTGGGCGTTTAAAACCCCGGTTCAAATTCTGTCCCTGCAGTTACCTTGCTCTGTGACCTTGGGCAAATAGCTTTGCCTCTCTGGGCCTCAATTTACTTTTCTGTAAAATATGGGGGCAGAGGATGTTTCCTACTCTGGGTATTTGTAAAAACTAAAAAATAATCAGCTGTAAAACAGCTAACATTGAGACTGATTGATGGCTAGGGTTTGATGTGTGGGACAAGCCTGGGTTGTTCTTTACCCACTGTACAGATGAGGAAATTAAGGCCGGGTGCTCCTAAGTCACACAGCGGGTGAATGGATGCAGAGGAGAATGTGAGGGTGGGATTCTTACCCCATCCATTCCCCCCACCAGGGCCAATTCCCATCCCCCCAGCAGCATGGCTTCCTGTGCTGAGCCCTCTGCCTCGGGGCCTGAGCCCACTGCCCCACCGCCTGCTGGGGTCCCACCACTCGAGGACTTCGAGGTGCTGGATGGGGTGGAAGATGCAGAGGGCGAGGAGGAGGAGGAGGAGGAGGAAGACCTGAGTGAGCTGCCACCACTTGAAGACGTGGGGCGGCCTCCACTGGAGGAGGCCGAGCAGCCTGGGGCCCTGGCCCGAGAGTTCCTGGCCGCCATGGAGCCTGAGCCCGAGCCCGCCCCAGCCCCGGATGAGTGGCTGGACATCCTGGGTAAGGAGCAGGGGTGGCTTGGGTTGACCCACACGGCCTGGACAGCTCAGGTTCAGGAATGACCTTGGCCTAGGCCATCTTCTCCCCTGAGCCTCATTTCCCCCTCTCTGCTATGCAGTAGTTTGGAAGTCAAACATGTAACCACGGTGATCGCTTGCCACAGGCAACTGGTTGAGACACTTCATATCTAAGAACCCCTTTCATTGTCACATGCACACATGCACGTCGTGTTCTAGCCCTGTTTCTCAGAGCTGCTAAGAGCAGCTCAGAGAGGCTGAGTCACCTGCCCAGGGCCACACAGCCAGTACTCCAGGTGCTGGCAGCTCCCAGCCCCCACTGCTTCCTTTTTTGGCATTTGTCTGACAAGTGCCTCTTCCCTGAAAATGTGTCCAGGGGTCAAATAGATCTGGAAAACATCTCATTTTGTTCAATCCTCTGTCTGACTCATAGCATGCATTAGCATTGCAACTACTCAGAGAAGGCCTACAAGAAAGAAACTGGGGGATCCCACACACATGCCCCATCATGTACCCCATGATAGTGACCCTGGAAACTAGAGAGAAATACTGCTGCTGGTACTGATACTTTGTATATTAAATAACATTAGTGTCCACTAATAATGATGGTAGTGAAACATCGTTAATAAGATCACAAATACTGATATTAAAGCAATAGTGTCAAGTAATCCTGATTTGATAATGCAGATTTGTTACTGTTATCATCTCTACTGCTGATAGAAATGCCACTTCTGAAAATAACACCAGGTTGGGGTGCCTGGGTGGCTCAGTCAGTTAAGCATCTGTCTTCGGCTCAGGTCATAATCTCAGGGTCCATGGATCGAGTTCCCACATCCCCACGTCATGCTCTCTGCTTGGAGGGGAGGTTGCTACTCCCTCTCTGCCTGCCCCTACCCCAGCTCATGCTGTCTCTTGTTCTTGCTCGGTCTCAAATGAATAAATCATAACATTACAAAAAATAAAAATAACACCACTTAATATTTGCTGGGTCCGTGCCAGGCCCACACATCATTTTTTAGCCTTACAACGACCCTAAAATGTAATTCTTATCAAATCCCCCTTTTTTTTTTTTTTTAAGATTTTATTTATTTATTTGAGAGAGAGCGCATGTGCATGCACGAGAAGGGAGAGGGTCAGAGGGAGAAGTAGATGCGGGACTCGATTCTGGGACTCCGGGATCATGACCCAAACCCAAGCCAGACGCTTAACCAAATCAGCCACCCAGGCGTCCCACCATCTCCCCGTCTTACAGATGAGGGAACTGAGGCTCAGTGAATGGAGGTGCTTGCCCAGCAGACAGCTTCCTAGGCTGTATTAGAATTTGGGAAGCTCTTCTTTACTGATATTAAGAGCTGCTCTGCTTTCCCTCTGAGCACGAACCTGACTGCCCATTTATGTTTGAGCCAGCTGCTTTCTGAGGTGAGAATTTGGGCTTCTGTCCAAGGAAACTGAGGCCTTGAGAGGGTACATGATTTGCCCAGAGTCTACTGAGATAAGAGGCTAGTGCCTGCTTATAACCCGACCAGCACATCCACCATTCATGCCCAGATACTTAGAGACACAGGGATTCCTAGGGAGCCACTAGATGAGTTCTGAAACTGGATGTGGAGCATGGACAAGTTGGGGAACAGTATAGAAATTTGGAACATTCTAGAATATTCCAGAATATTAACAGCTATTTCCCTGTCCCTCACCTTTAGTCAAAGGTCCATTCAGAGTTACAGTATATCCCAAACTGGTGGAATATTATAGAATCCAGGTAAATGCTGGGAATATGGATGACTGCAGGTATTAGTCTGATGGGCCTCACAGGTGTAAGCCCTCAGTTGCCTCAGTGGTGGTTGTGGGATGACAGTGGCTTTCTTTGTTGTGCGGGTTCCTTGAGTGGATTCGTGAGGGTGCTGGGCCTCACGGCTGCTCAGTAGCTGTTCGCCAGGGCCATTTGTCCATTCCTGTGATTGCTTGGGGCTTGGAGGAAAATATGGGCTGTGGGCCCATCAGGGACACTGTTGCTTATAGACCCTCTGGCTGCTTAACTTTGAATTGTAGGGATGTGCTTCTTTGGTAGAGACACAATCCTGGTGTCACAGAGACTCTGATAACCAAGCAGACTGCTCACTGGGTATCACCAGGGGTCTCCCTGATGTCCCCATTTCATGGCTAGGTAAATGGAGGCCCAGTGTTGAAGGGCTGGATGGGAACCAGGAGAGGGAGTGGAGGGCGGCTTCAGAGTCTATCCTGCACATCCCTGCCAGCCTGATTCTGCTTGGCAGGATGACTTTTCTCAGCTCTTTGTCCGGGCCAAGACTTAATTTTCTTTTCTTTTTTTAAAGATTTATTTATTTAATTGTCAGAGAAGGGGTGTATGTGCACACAAGCAGGGGAGTGATAGGCAGAGGGAGAAGCAGGCTCCCCACTGAACAAGGAGCCCGATATGGTACTCGATCCCAGGACCCCAGGATCATGACCTGAGCCGAAGGCAGACGCTTAACCAACTGAGCCACCCAGGCATCCCAGATCTAAATTTTCTTAAGATAATGGTCAGACGGGCCATAATTGTCACCCCTCAGATTGATCCTTTCATGCCTAGTGTCCAGCCAGGGACAGTTCCAGGGGCATGGGATCACCTACCCAGTAAGTGGCAGAGCAGCTCTTTGAGGCTCAGCTGGGTGCTGGGAGAGGGGTGCTGGGGGGAGCAAGCACCCATCTGACCTGCGTGGTGATAGGCTGCTCGTCCCCGGTCCCCGGCAGGGAACGGGCTGTTACGGAAGAAGACGTTGGTCCCAGGCCCACCCGGCTCGAGCCGCCCAGCTAAAGGCCAGGTAGTCACTGTACAGCTGCAGACCTCGCTGGAGAACGGCACTCGGGTGCAGGAAGAGCCAGAGCTGGTGTTCACCCTGGGCGACTGTGACGTCATCCAGGTGGGAGGGCGCGAGGGCCCTGGCAGCTGGTCTGGAGCTGAGTGGAGGAGGCCTGCTAAGGGGAGGTGGTGGCTGCTGGGGGGCAGGGTGGTGGTGGGGTCGGAGTGGGCGTGGCATTGCTACTGTGTACCTGAGCCTGCCTGACCCTCTTGCCCCCGCACACCCAGGCCCTGGATCTCAGCGTTCCACTCATGGATGTGGGGGAGACAGCTATGGTCACTGCTGATTCCAAGTACTGCTATGGCCCCCAGGGCAGGTGAGAACCTGTTACCAGCAGGGTCCCAATGGAGGACCCCTTTGCCCACCAAATTGATAGCAGAAGAAACAGACTTAGGGAGGGGAAGTCACTCACCAAGTCAGGAAGCCCATGGGTCGCAAGTTACTTCCCTTTCGTTTCACTGAGGAGGGGGTGATGGTGGGGCCAGCTCCCAAGTCTTGAGCCCTCGCCCTTTCCCCCCTGCTCCCTAGCCAACCCAGTGTATCTGGGGTTCGCTCATGGTGGCCGCTGGGTCTGAGTGCTGCTCTTGCCCCATCCCCCAGCAGGAGCCCGTACATCCCCCCACACGCGGCCCTGTGCCTGGAGGTGACCCTGAAGACTGCCGTAGATGGGCCTGACCTGGAAATGCTCACAGGGCAGGAGCGTGTGGCTCTGGCCAACCGGAAGCGGGAGTGTGGCAATGCCCACTACCAGCGGGCCGACTTCGTGTTGGCTGCCAATTCCTACGACCTCGCCATCAAGGCCATCACCTCTAGCGCCAAAGGTGAGTGCCAAGTCAAATCCTGCCGCACCCCCTGCGAAGCCATCCACTCGTGCCAGAAGCATCCAGCCACAGAAGGACTCAGACTCAGAATGATCTAGAATATTCCAGAATGTGGACAGATGATCAACTATTCCTGACCCTTAGACTAGAGTCCACTGTAGACTTAAGGTATGTCCTCAATCAACAGAATAATACAGAACACAGGTAGATGTTGGAATGTGAGTGACCATGGACCATGTCAATCCACATGCCCTGTGGTTAGGTCTTCGCATTGCTTAGGCTCGATCTTATTCTTTAGGAGCACCCTGAGGATGGGCTGGTCTTGGCCCGTGTTAGAAATAGGGAAACTGAGACCAGAGAGGCTTGAGGTCCTCCAAGGAATAGATGGTGGAGGCCCCGCCCCTGGGAATTCAGAGCCCCTCTCTCCAGTCTCTTGGGACTGGGGTACTCCGAGGCCCTCCCCACTCAGTCCCCTCTGCCACCAGGTCCAGAGGGAGCGGGCCTTGACCTGGGTCACAGTGTGTGGGGTGCCTTTCCCTGGGGTCAAAGGTGGCCAGCCCTCCACAGATGGGCGGCTATGGGGGGCTGGCGGTACGGTAACCAAGGCCACGGTTGAACACCAACATCCCCCTGCCCCCCGCTGCAGTGGACATGACATTCGAGGAGGAGGAGCAGCTCCTGCAGCTGAAGGTGAAATGTCTGAACAACCTGGCAGCATCACAGCTGAAGCTGGACCACTACCGAGCTGCACTGCGCTCCTGCAGCCTTGTGCTGGAGCATCAGCCCGACAACATCAAGGCTCTCTTCCGCAAGGGCAAGGTGAGCTGCGGGCCGGTGGACCCGCTGATTCCCCCACACCCAGAGCAGTGGGGCTGATTCCAAACGCTGGATTTGAGACGAGCACGGGCATCAGCCAGCCAAGCTCTCTGGGATACAGGTGGGGAAACTGAGTCCCAGACAGGTGCTGAGGTGTGGTCTGGATCATAGCAATTTGTTGACAAGCCAGACTTGAACCGTAGGTCTTAGGTTCCCTCCTAACTGCTGACACTGCCCTGTGACCCTTTGGTGACTGCTCTTTGTATATAATTCTCCATGGTTCACACATCTCAGAGTAAAAAGCCAAGTCCTCATTGCAGACCTTGGGGCTCTGGGTCATCGGGTCCTCCCACCATCCCCTTCCATCCCTCCTCTTCCTTCTCTCCATCCTGCTCAGCTTCCTCAGTGCTTGCTGCCCAGGCTGGGGTTATTCCCACCCTAGTGACTTTACACAGGCTCTGCCCTCTGCCTGAGCCGTTCACACCCCAGATCGCCCCATGGGTCCCTCTTTCACCTCCTTCAGGTCTTTGCTCCTATGTCACCTCCTCAGGAAGCTCTCCCCCCCACACCCACCTGACTCCCTGCCCTGTCTTCATGTTCACCATGGTGGCGTTAGCAGAGGCAGGTGTCATCCTGGCTGTTAGGTCCCTTATTAGAAGCTGGAGATTTTGTCCATTTCACTCACTGGTAAATCTCTAGCCATGCAAACAGGGCCGGGTACACAGTGGGTGCCCAGTAAATGCTGTGGAATGTAGGGATGAATTTGACCTGTGTAGACTTGACCGTAATTGCTTTTGTCCCCATCTGCTATTCATCTCCACCTGTGTGTGTGTGTGTGTGTTTGGTGCGGGGGGGGGGGGGGGGGGGCGGAGTTCAGCGCCTTTAGCAGTACTGAGGAAATTGAGACACAAGCAAATGGTGGGTCACCTAGCCTGTCGGTGAGAGGCATGAGCAGGGCTTCCCTCCAACCGGCATTTTTAAACCACTTGTGTGTAGGGTTCTGTGTAGAAATGTGGGAAGAAGATGCTATCTCTATTTTCTCAGGGGTCTGATGCTCTTGGGGGCAGTGGAATTGTCTGCTCCTATAGCCTCACATTTATATCTGCTGGTTGTAGGCGACACAAACCCATCCTAACAGATTCAGACAGGAGGAGGAATTAATAACTTATGGAATTGCCAAGTATAGGGTGTTGGCTTCAGGCATGGCTGGATCCAGGCATTAGCAATGTTGTTGGGATGCTGTGCCTGTCTGCTGTGGGTTTTCCCCTCAGGGTGATCAAGGTGCTTCTACCTGCTCACTCAGAAAGTTCAAGGCTTCCATGTCTGTCCGTGACACCTGCATGGTTCAGGTGGGCCTCATTGGCTGGCTCTGAATCATTCACTGTAGTCAAAGCTTTGGAAATGCTCATTTAGCTTCTTGAGCCAGCTAGGGTGGCAAGGGAGGAGGTGAGGCCAGCACCCAGGTTTCCTGCAAAGGCTGAGACAGACATGCAGAGGAGGGAGCAGACTGGGACGACATTGAGCCTAGTGGGGCACTTATGTCGTCTTAGGGCTCAGGGACGGTATAAGGGTGGCTGGGTCCCTGGGGTGATTGTGGGTGATGGATTTGGGACTAGTCAGGGTGACCAGGAGCCTAGCAGGGCTGGGCCTTTTTTTTTTTTTTTTTTTTTAAGATTTTTATTTATTTATTTGACAGAGATCACAAGTAGTTAGAGAAGCAGGCAGAGAGAAAGAGAGGAGGAAGCAGGCTCCCTGCTGAGCAGAGAGCCCGAGGCGGGGCTCAATCCCTGGACCCTGGGATCATGACCTGAGCCGAAGGCAGAGGCTCCAACCCACTGAGCCACCCAGGCGCCCCAAGGGCTGGGCCTTTTGAAGAAGATCATGGCGCACTGTCATTCTAGAATGACGCCATCCATTTCCTTCCACAGGTGCTGGCCCAGCAGGGGGAGTACAGTGAGGCCATCCCCATTCTGAGGGCAGCCCTGAAGCTGGAACCTTCCAACAAGGTGAGCAGAAAGGAGGCAGCCTTGGGACCTACCCTGCTAACTTGTCTGGGAAGTCATCCTGTGGTCTTTGCCTTGTCCTGCTTGCTGTGGCTCTCCTGGGGTTCTAGCCTGGGCAGTGACGGCGAGGGGCTGGGTGACTGAAGAGCCCCAGCCAGCTTGCTGAGACCCTTATGACCCCTGCATAGATGGTCAGGGCTCACCCCTCCCCAGCCAGAATCCCAGAGGCCAAAGGTGCTACCAACATGGCCAGTGTCAGTGTCCTCAGGTTTTCTACCAAAATCTTCCTTTCTCCTGGCCACCTTGTACTCTGCCCCATCCACTGGTTGCCTAGGGGGATAGAGATGGCAGCCCCTACTTTGCTGATGCCCTGAGAGGAGCAGATGGAACTTTCGTGTCTCAGTGGTCCTCACCCCAAAGTGACCAGGGTTCCCCAGAAAGGCGGAACATCGGAGATGATGGTCAGGTTGGCTGCTCCCACTGCATGTTCTTAGCCCAACTGACACCCACCTTTTGCAGACGATCCATGCAGAGCTTTCAAAACTGGTGAAGAAGCACGCGGCCCAGAGAAGCACAGAGACCGCCCTATACCGGAAAATGCTGGGGAACCCCAGCCGGCTGCCTGCCAAGTGTCCTGGCAAGGGTGCCTGGGTGAGCGGGGGCTGGCAGGCGCAGGGATGTTCCCAGACGAGGGGCAGGGGCTAAGGGTGGGGCATGCCACCCAGAAGGAGTTTCTTCATTTTGCAAATGTTGATGTCAACTGGGCTATGTTGGACCATGTTGGGAACACAGAGAAGCCTCAGCCCTGTGCAGTCAGGGTTAGAGCAGAAGATGGAAGAAGACTTGGAGGGCTCAGGGCGGGGAGTGATAGCTCTTCCAGAGGGGAAGGGGAGGTGTTCTAGAGCAGGGGACACTTGGCTTGAGTTTTGATGTATGAGTAGGAGTTTGCCAGAAGGTGGGAAAGGCTTTGTCAGGCAGTGGTTTGCTGGGAGGCCTCTTTGGGCCATGTTGGTAGCTGAAGCCTGGGGAATCAATCTTGACCACTCTCCAGCCTTCTCTTCCCTCCCATTTATCCACAGTCCATCCCCTGGAAGTGGCTGTTTGGGGCGACTGCTGTTGCCCTGGGGGGCGTGGCTCTCTCCGTGGTCATCGCTGCCAGGAACTGACCACCCAGGTGGCCACCACCCCCTTGCACACCACGGACCCCACCCCGCGCTCCCTAACTTCCCCAGGCTCCCTGTCCACTGCCCTGTCTGATCCAGCCCCCTCCTCTGGGGCGGGAGCAGTGAGGTGTGGGGGCCACATGGCCCCAGTGAGACAGGAGGGACTATGGCCCTATAGGAGGAAAGTGAGGCAGGGCCCGGGCTTCAAGTCCAGCCCAGAGGGAGGGGACCCTCATTCCTCCAGACCCAATTCCCATCCCCACCCCCATCCCCTTGGGTTAGGTCTCAACAGAGGCCAGCCTCAGTTTCTCCTTCCCAACAGGCCTGGGGGCAGCCCTTCCCCAACCCAGTCCCTGTCCAAGCGTCAATCCCCACCCACACCGCCTGCTGCCCTCTGTCCAGGTTCTCCCTCCCACTCCTTCAGTGAAATAAAGCCTCCTACCCCGCACTCTGCTGCCTCTAGTCCCTTCTTCCGCTGTCACTTGGGGCTGGGCCAGAGATAACCTGTGTCACATCCAGGGTCATGTGGGACTAAAGCGGGGGTGGGGGCATCTCCTCTTAGGCCACGGCAGATCTGCTTTACAAAGGGGGCAGCAGAGACCTAGAGAAGTGGGGCGATGCATTCAGGGTACCCAGCCGGCCTCTGCAGGAGTTTACACTCAGTTAAACTCCACTTCTCTTGTCTCTGTTGCCTCATCTGAAAATAGGGATCCTGACAGGATCTAACTGGGGACAGTGCTGAGACCTGTGCAACCATAGGGGGCCGGCTGTGCGGCAAGCAGACAGCCCCATGCCTGGGTAACAGCATAGCCAATGCAAAGGCCCTGGAACAGGATTGAGCCCAGCGCGTTCAAGGTTAAGGAGAGTGTGTGGTCAGCAGTTCCTCTTGATTTCGTTTCGTTCCCCCCCCCAACCTGGGGCTGTAGGAGCTTCTCCCTTAAATGCTGCCTACCATCACAGCCAGAGCGGGTGGTCAGGCCTCTGTCAAGACAGCACCTGTGACCCTTCTCACGGCTTCATCCTGCCTCCGGGAGAGGAGATCTCCAGGAATAGACCACCACCACCAGGACTGTGTTGCACCTGTCCCCTAACAGCCGCATTAGGGAAAGCCACCGGTCATAGCCACCCAGCAGAAGGTAGCAGTTAGGCCTTGAGCTTGCCTACTCTGGGGTCCTGGTCTGTGAGCCATCTGGATAACTCTCTGGGCACAGATCTGTGGGTGGCTTGAACCTGCTACCCTTTCCAGCATTCAGCTGCTTTAGGCTTAGACACAGCAGGGGGGCTCTGTGGGTGGCACTGCGGGAGGGGCTGTGGGTTGGCCACGCTTGGCGGGGCTAGAGTCCTAGGTAGGACACCCCCTCTTTCCTCAGTCTTGCTGACCTCAGACTGGGGAGCTGGCCTGAGTGGTGACCAGCGGGATGGTGGGCTGGGAGGGTGACTTCCTGGCCTGGGTTGTGAGGGTCACAGCTGCTGTCGTTCCCAAGCGCTGATCATTAGCGTGGCATTAGTCTACCAGGGACACACGGTGGCTTCATTCTGTGCCCATTATTTGCATATTTTGGAGACAAGTCCTTTCTCGGGTAGGTATATTATGAATATTTTTTCCCATTCTGGGGCTCACTTTTCATTTTCTTAGAGCAGACATTTTAATTTTGAAGAAGTTCAGTTTATGTTTTTGTCAATATTTGCTAACCAGGTTTGTAGGGATTTTCAAGGTGTTCTTTTATTTTTTTTATTTTTTATTTTTATTATATAAGGATTTTATTTATTTATTTGACAGAGAGAGAGCGAGAGCAGGAACACAAGGAGGGGGAGTGGGAGAGGGAAAAGCGGGCTTCCCACCAAGCAGGGAGCCCAATGCAGGGCTCGATCCCAGAACCCTGGGATCATGACCTGACCCAAAGGCAGATGCTTAACGACTGAGCCATCCAGGCGCCCCTAGGTTTTCTTTTAAATGGTATGGCTTCAGCTTTTCTATGGAGATCCATGATTCACTTTTGTGTGAGGTTGGAGTTGAGGTTCATTTTCCAGGTAGCCTATCCAGTTGTTCTAGAAACAACTGTGGGGAAGACTTTCTTTTTCCTAGCAAGTTATTGTGGCAGCCTTATTAAAAATCAGCTGATCACGCATGTGTGAGTCTTCTGGCCTCTTCTCCATGCTCAGGATCTCTCTGTCCTCAGGTTTTCTGTGTCCTCTTTGTGGGTCCCACGCTGGGTTCCACGGTGTGCTGAAGGCTGTAGCTTTCTAGTAATGCTGGAGTCAGGCTTTGCTCCAAGGTTCTTTTGGTTGTGCCCATTATTAGTTAAGCACACTGAGGCCCAGAAAGGAGTCAGCTCCCAACCAAGGTCCCATCACCTGGGCACAATGGGCAAGATTAGCCCCAGGTCAACCTCCCTTCAGAGCCCATGCTGTGCCCACCAGCCAGGTCTACACCTCCCTGCAAGTTAGAGCCAGGAAACAAGAGAGGCTTTGAAGGCCATGACCAGGAGTGTGAACTTCAGTATGTTCCTTCCCTTGGTCTTTCCATCCTCTGGTCTGAATGGGAGAGGGGACAGGGTGTCCAGGACAAGGGGCACTGATGTTTCCTTGTAGGCACAGGAGTACTTTGGCAGGTATGAAGCATGCTGCCAGGACTGGCATGGCTTGTGCAAGAGGTGTGCTGGCCGGGCAGTACATGACACATTCAGAGGACAGCTAGGATGGATTTTTATTTCGTATGAAAACATGTACCAATGCCTCCTGTATACTTGGTCTTAGGCAATGACTCAACCTGGCCTTGCCCTTGAGGGGTACAGCTCACAGTGGGCTATGAATTGGAAGTGAGCAAGACAGAATGAGCTGTGTGTGTGTGTGTGTGTGTGTGTGTGTGTGAGTGTGTGTGTGTGTGTGTGTGTTTGAGTGAGGGAGGGAGGGCATTCATATCTGAGCACTGGACATCCTTTGCATGCCTCCATGTCAAGTCATTGTTAAAACCTCCTGGGTCACCCAGTGTGGGACTATCGGGGAGCCTCCCTCATCAGGCAGAGGACAGAAAAGAGTCATCATGAATGCTTGTGGGCAGATGGGTGGGTGGAAGAAAATTACCATGGAATCATCAGTCACCAGGGCTGATGGAGATGTTTTAACCGACACTGAAATGTTCCCAGGAGGTCTAGCAAGCACACGGGCCATCTTTGAGGAAGAGTCTGCACGGCTGTCCCTACAAACTGTTCCCACGGAATGCTAGGCCTTACCTTCTTCATGGGACCCAGGGAGGAAAATTCAGCTGATTCACGAAGCAAAATGGAGGTTTGGGGGCACTTGAAGGCCCTACTGATGTAGGTCAGTAAAAAAAAAATAACTAAGCAGGCTTAGGTTATTCAAACCTGCACGTTCTCAAGAAAGGACTGGCCCTCGGTCAGCTCCTGGCAGGTCACATTCTAAGTTCTTGGGATGTTCTGGCTGAGAGTCTATGCTAACAATATAATTTAGGGTGGGGCCTTTGGTCCCATGGTTTCAGCTTGACCTGTGGAGTGGCTGGAGACTGAGTTCAAGCATGTGGGTGGTCAGCACTCCTTCCCAGTAAAAACCCTGGACAAGGCTCAGGTGAGCTTCCTTGGTTGGCAGTACTCTGTGCATGTTGTCACAAAGATTTCTGGGAGAATTAAGGGGTCCGCACCTGGATGCTTGCCTGGTTTTTCCTGGTCTCTGCCTCATGCACTTTCACTGTGATCAACCATGGCCACGAATATCACAGCTAGACTTGCTGGTTCTGAGATGCCCAGCTGAGCGAGCAGCAGAACAGGCATGGGACCCGAGGGCTGCTTGCTGGCTGCCCGCCATGCAGAGGGACTGGCTCCAAAGTGAGTGCTTTCAGGACACCTGGGTGGCTCAGTGGGATAACCCTCTGCCTTCAGCTCAGGTCATGATCTTGGGGTCCTGGGATCGAGCCCTGCATTGGGCTCTCTGCTCAGCGGGGAGCCTGCATCCCCATCTCTCTTTCTGCCTACCTCTCTGCCTACTTGTGATCTTTGTCAAATAAATAAAATATTAAAACAACAACAAAAAAAAACCAAAGTGAGTGCTCTCATGGATCCTTGCATTCCCTCTGCTACAAAACAATATGGTTCAACATCTCTAAGGCTCATTGGCTGGCTGAGCAGCTGAGCGGGTAGGAGGCTGGCTCTGAGGGCTGTGGGCTGCAGAAATTTTAAGGGGCTCCTGAGATTTCTTCCGTGTATCATCCCAGGACTGGAAGTGGGCAGGATCTCACTCCTGTGATTACATTGTTATTGGGCACAGTTGACTTTAAGATACGGAGATAATCTGGGTGGGCCTGACCTCATGGGTTGCAGATGACAAAGCCAGAGAGACTTGAACTATGAGAGGGATTCAACATTCAAAATTCTCCCTCTCAAGAGGGGCAGACTCTCTGTTACTGAGGTGGAGGGGGCCACGAGGCTAGCACCTGAGAGTGGCCCCCAGCCAACAGCAAAGAAATGGGGACCAGAGTCCTACAACCACCAGGAAATGAGTTCCGCCCACAACCTGAAGAAGCTTGGACATTGAGCCTTGGGACGAGGATGTAGCCAGTCAACGCCTTGCTTGCAGCTTCATGAGACCTCGAGCAGAGGACCAGTTAAGACATACCAGACTTCTGACTCACGGAAACTGCGAGATAATAAACATATATTGTTTTAGGCCTAAGTGGGAAGTGCTTCGTTATGCAGCAATAGCGAGCTAACGTGTATTGACAGCAGATATGTTAGCAACTGCTGAATAACAAAGAGTGGGTATTCATCTCAGTGTGGTTGAAAAACACATAAATAGGGCGCCTGGGTGGCTCAGTGGGTTAAAGCCTCTGCCTTCGGCTCAGGTCATGATCTCGGGGTCCTGGGTTCGAGCCCCGCATCGGGTTCTCTGCTCAGCAGGGAGCCTGCTTCCTCCTCCTCTCTCTCTCTGCCTGCCTCTCTGCCTACTTGTGATCTCTCTTTGTGAAATAAAATAAAATCTTTAAAAAAGAAAACACATAAATAAACTGCAAGCGACATAAATAGATGATAGAAAGGGATTAGATAGACAAATTCTCAAAAACTCATTAATAATAATGATTTCCGGGGCGTCTGGGTACCTCAGTCGCTAAGCGTCTGCTTTCAGCTCAGGTCATGATCCCAGGGTCCTGGGATCGAGCCCTGCATTGGGCTCCTCGCTTGTCGGGAGGCCTGCTTCTCCCTCTCCCACTCCCCCTGTTTGTGTTCCTGCTCTTGATGTCTCTCTCTCTGTCAAATAAATACATAAAATCTTAAACAAACAAATAACGATTTCCATGATGATGCCATTTGCCGTTTGCTGTGCTTATCCATATTTTATGATGTGGGCACACCAAGGAGGTCAAGACACGTCCCAAGCCATGTAGGGAATGAGGAGCCGATGAGGGTCATAGAGTTAGAACTTCTGCAATGAGCTTGG